GCCCGCCGCCGCCTGCCGCCCGCGGGCCGGGGCCGGCCGCGCCCCCGCGTCCCCGTACCTCGTAAAGGTCCCCAGAAGCCATGCCAGGCTGCGGAACTTGGCTCGCCGGGTGTGCGCGTCTGCTCGCTCGCGCCCTCCGTGCGTGTGCGCGAGGGGGCCAGTGTGCGCGTGTGTGTGCGCGCGTGTGTGTGTGAGTGTGTGTGTGGTGTGTTGAGTAAACTGTGTTTTTGCAGAATGACAGGCTTGGGGGCTGCCTATGCGCAGAATCAGAGCGGGCGGCGGCGGGGCTGGCGTAACCGGCAGCGGCGGCGGCGGCGGCGGCGGCACGAGCGCGGGCAGTAGCGACGGCCGCGCAGCGCGCCCGGGAGGCACCGACGCGGCCCGAGCGCTGCGGCCCCCGCGACCCGGCGACCCGGCGGCGGTGGCTGCAGCGGGCAACGGCTCGCCCCGGCGCCGCCTGCAGGAAGCCGCCCCGCGCCCGCCGCCGGCCCGGACGCTGCTGCCACTGGGCGAGTCCCCGCCCCCCGGGAGCCCGGCCCGGCCCCCGGGGAGGGGGGGGCGGGGGCGGCTGCCCGGCCGCGCCCCGGGGGACCGGTCCCGGAGCCGTGAAGCGCTCGGGCCCGCCCCGCCGCCCCGGGCCGGCTCCGGAGGCGGCGGCGGGGCCCCCCCGGGGTGGCGGGCCAGGTGCCCGCCGGGCGCACACGGCCCGGGGCAGCGAAGGGGCGGCCGGGGAGGCAGGTAGAAAGCTGCCGTGGCAGGTCCCAGGGAAGGGGCCCCAGCTGGGCTCAGCCGGCCCGGGGCCTCGCCTCTTCCACCCCCTACCCCCACCCAACCCAGGGAGGGAGTGGGCGCTGTACTAGGAGACCTGGCCCCTCGGGGCTGCGCAGCCCCTCCCTGGCTGCATAGCCCCTCCCTCCAGTCTGGTTTGTAAGACGTGGAGGCCCCGGGGAGGAGGAAAGACGTGGCCCAAGCAGAGGCCCCAACACGGCACCCCATTAAACCCTGGAAAGTCTTTAGATCCAGGTACGGCCTCCCATCAACAGCTGCCCTCCGTCCCCCATTCATTCACTCATCCACTACTCAAACATTTTCCACAGCCTGCCCAACTACACAGTGTCCCTAGATAGGCATAACTGGGACCCTGCCCTCGAGGGGCTTTGAATCCAAGAAGAGAGACTAGCCACAGGCATGTGAACAGGATTCAGTCGTTTAACAAAAAGGAGTTCCTACTACGTGCCAAACTCCAGAACTCAAAGAACTGGAGAAGCACTCTCAAATACAGACTCCTTAAAGTCTCTCCCTACCAAGATCCTGGATAAATGTTCACCCTTCTGTTTAAAGGCTTCTCTCTATAAGTGATACAGTTAATTCAGAATCTGGAAAGACAGGCTGTGCTGAACTTGGAAGGAAGGTCTTTCTCATCCCAGCACCAAAAATGCCCAGTTGGTCATTTTCTCCAGATGAGAAGTGGACATAACTCACATCCTTCCTCCTTCATTTCCTATTTGTGAGACTTTAGACAAGTCACTTTACTCATCTCTAAATTGGGGATGGTGATAAACACCTAAAATGAAGTGAGAATTAAATAGAGATCTATGTGTATATATATGATGTGGCCTATAGCAGTGGAACCCAATAAAGGTTATTTGTTTCTGAATCAGGACCCTGAACTGCCCTTGTGGAGAGAGAGATGGTGGAGGAGAGTGTATGACAAAGAGAAAGGGTTTCATCTAGAGGCTGTCAAACGTTTAAAAGTCACCAAATTTTTTAATAAAAAAAAATTGCTTAGAATCTGAACCACAGAGTTTTCAAGTCTGGCTCATTCCAGGACACACGAGTTTGCATATGCTGTTCCCTCTGTCTAGAATGTCCTTCCACATGGAATCCATCTGGAAAACTCTTCTTCTTCCCACAGGGGCTTGTTTATCTTTGTATCACAAGCATCTATCACTATTCCTGGCAGAGAGTGAGTACACAATGAATGTTTGTCAGGCTATGCCAATACAACAGATTTTATACCAATTTCTTGTTAAAATCCCATATTAAAACAATGAGGGGGGAAGGGTGAGTGTGTAGAAATCAAGTGTATTTGGTTTAAAAACTGTAGAAATTGTTATAGCAGTCCTCTCCCCTTTTCATACTATTTTCCCAATGGTTATGGTTTTAAATAATAACATTAATGATAAACAGTATTCAATCTGTAGGTCACAAAACAAATCTTAATGATCCTTAATTTGTACTTGGGAATAAATGCGCCATCATAGCATGAGGATGTAATTTGGAAGTAGAAGACAAGAAAGAAACTCGGTTTGGAAATAATCTGCTCAGACAAATTTGAATATATAATCAGTAGTTTTATAAAAACACCAAAAACTTGACTTGTACTGGCCAAATTCTCTTTGGGAATGTGAGCACACTTTGAAAAAACCTTGTCTAGACAAAAATTGTTACAGAGTTCACAGAAGATGATATTCACTGTGGATTGGCATGCTCAGGGAATATCTTATGGAGGAGGTAAATTGAAATGTATCTTGAAGACTTAATGGAAAGGAAAGACAGTATTTTATTTAGGGAAAGAGGTAAGAGTAAATGGTAGGTGGTGCTGCAATGGGAGGGGTACTGGAAGACTAGAAGACTGATCCATCGAGGTCATAGGACATTGGATAGCAAATGTGGGTCAGTTCATGGAGAGTCTTGAATGGTTTGCAATTTAACAAGTCAGCAGTGAAAAACTGGAGAAGACTTTTAAATCATCAAGAGCATGTATCAATCAAAAGTGTACTTTAGAAAACAAATTCTAGAAGAAATAGGAGAAATGGACTTCAGGGGTTGAGGTTACAGATAGGGAGACCAATTGCAGTGGTCCATAGAGGTAGCAGTAGAAATGAAAAAGAAAAACTGGATTTTGCAAGGAAGAACCCCACCAGCCACCAACTTTCATTATGGTCACTCCATTTACTTCCATAAAGCATTTGATCCAAATCAACAAGACTTGATGACTAACAGGATGTGTGTGTGTGTGTGTGTGTGTGTGTGTGTGTGTTGAGAGTTGGGGGAGGGGTGAGCAACTAAGGAAAGAAAGGATACAGAGATGACTAAGGTTTTAAACTGAGTGACTGAACTACCCATCCATCCTAACATTGTTCTATTTTGAGCTTGCCTCCAGACCATCATTGGCTTCCAGAAAATCCAGATGCTTCCTGAAGGATGAAGGGAAGGTTCTTTATCCTCTGTGGGAAGGGTGACCCAACCAATGCACAGTTCTGTTCCAGATTCTTCAAATGACATAGAACCATTGTTGCTTATGGAGAATGGGAGATACCTATCATATTCCAAAAACTAGGATAGACTCTTTGTACTAGTCATAACTTAAGGGCAAGTGATAAAACTCAACTCAAACTGATTTAAAACAAAGAATTTATTGACTCACATAGATTAGAAAAGGATGGAATTGCTCTCAGGGTTGGCTGGATTCAAGCTCTCAAAGGACATATCATATCATATCATATAATATAATATAATATAATATAATATAACAATATAATATAATATAAATCGCATGGAAAGGCTCTGCTTGGCTGATTGTAGATCATATGCTCTTATTGTGGCCCAATTACTGTAGTCAATCACTGAGAGTCCTCTATGACTGGCCAGCTTAAGTCACATACCCACCTATGGGGCAAGAAGAGTACAATATTTGGCAGCTTTACCAGAATTACATGATTGGAAGTGGGAATGAGCAGAAGCCCAAAGGAATGGGAAAAGGCATACTGGTGAGAGAGATATCCACTATATGGTGGAACAAACCTGGGGCAGAATGAGGACTTAGAAGCAAGGGCAGTGGCTGCCTAGAACATGCCTTTGTGATGGAGCAAGACCAGCCAGTTTAATAGCCAAGAACAGATTGTATTCACTACCCTGACAGTGGATTAGAATGTGGCAATTACTTGAGACATGAGCTTGACCTCCTATATAGTATGGTAGTTGAACCTGTAGACTATAGAAGCAGAATGCCTGGATTCCAATTCTTGCATCATCACTACTAGCTATATGCTGTGAGCTTCTTGACTTAACCATGCCGTCCTTCCATTTACAAATGTATTTGTTATTTTTGGCCGCACAATCAACTATCCCCAAAACTTAGTGGCTTAAAACAAAAGATATTTCTTATCTCATAGTATCTCTGTGTTGGAGATTCAGGAGCAGCTTAGCTGGGTGGTTCTGACTTAATAGTCTCTTATGGGATTGCAGTCAAAATGTTGGCTAGGATGGCAGTTATTTGAAGGTTTCACTGAGTCTGGAGGTTCTACCTCCAAGATGGTGCCCACACATGGCTGATTGGCAGGAGGCTTCAGCTCCTAGCCATGCAGATCTCTTCATAGGTTTACCTGAGTGACCTCATGCCATTCTCATCTAGTCCCCCAAATCCAACAAAATAGAGCAAAACTGTGGGGGGTGGGAGGATGGGTTAGGCTGGGTGATGGGTATTAAAGAGGGCACGTTCTGCATGGAGCACTGGGTGTTATACACAAACAATGACTCATGGAACACTACATCAAAAACTAATGATGTAATGTATGGTGATTAACATAACAATAAAAAATTTAAAAGAATAGAGCAAAACTGTCAAAGCTTCAGCTCTTTCTAGAATAGAGCCCCTAATTAATCTGATGTGTTGGTCCATGCTAAAGCTATCTGATGCAGAGGCAATTTACAACACGTCAGACTGTGTGACTGGGGATGTCAGGCCCATGCCTTTTGCGTCAAAGATGAGAAAACTAAGACCTAGGTTGGGTGATCCAAGAGAAAGAACAAGGAGGAAGTCACAACAGCTTTGACCATCTAATCTTAGAAACCAAGCATTGTCACTTCAACCATCTTCTATTCTTTAGAACTGAGCCACTAAGCCTAGCCCCCCCCCGAAGAGGAGGCAAATTAGCTCCCACCTTTTAAAGGGAGGGCTATCAAAAAATTTGTGGACATATTTTAAACTACCACACCACATCTGTAAATTGAGGTGATAAATACCCCATAGAGTTGTTTTAAGAATTAGATAAGATAATCCATACAAAGCATCTGTCACTGTAATAAGGGCTGAATAATGGTATTTGTTATAATTACTATTAAAACTACTAAAACCAGCTTCAAACTTGGTATGTATCACTAATATCCTTGAATGTTCAGGATTCCTATAGAAAGCCATTAAATCAAATAAAACCTTCAA